TGCAGACTCGGGGCCCTTGTGTCCTTCCTCCAGCAGCAACTGGAACTGGGAAGCTTGAGGATGAGTGTCCCCAGGGAGGCAGGGTGCAGCTGCAGTCCTGGGGTTACTCCCAGTTGTCACCTGCTTAGGGGGTCCAAGTAGGACAGGATTTACCTGCAGCCTTGGATGACCCTCAGTGTCCTGCTGTTGAGCAGCAGGGATGTGGGGCACGGGGGCACCTCAGAGCTTGTCAGTGTCCCCACAGCTGGTGCTGGGCACTGAGTGGGTCACCACAGCTTGTGCAGGACAAGTCCTGAACCCGGGCAGCTTGGGTTGTCCTTGTGGTGAGTGACACTGCTCCTTGTCCCTCAGGATAAGAAGTACACGCTGACCATGGAGGACCTGACCCCGGCGCTCGCAGAGTATGGGATCAATGTGAAGAAGCCACATTACTTCACATGAGGACTGGGGGTTGTCACAGGGGACTTTGTTGGGGCCACTTCGGTGCCATTAAACAGCTGGGTTGTTTTTTTTGTTGGAAAAATGTGCTCCTGCCTGTGGCCCCTCCTGCCTGCACCCCTGGGCACGGGTCCTGTCGAGCTGGGCAGAGGGGCTAGGTGAGGGGCTGGCAGTGCCTGGGGGGCACAGCCCTGCTCCCTGGGATCTGAAACAGGAAGGTGGGCACAGGGGGGTCAGGATTGCCCCACCCTCCTGTTTATTTCTTCCTCCCATGCAGCCTGGGCCCCTCTCCCCCTGGGAAGGGGCAGCTCTCCCACCTGCTTCCCTGGCTCCCGGTGCCAGAGGGAGGAGTGGGTGCTGATCCTGATCCCAGGGCTCTGTGGACGCCCCCTCCTGTCTCTTCCCCCCTTTTCGGGCAGTGTCCCACACGTCCCTGGTTTTCATTACAAATCTTTTATTTCGGCTTTTCCGCGGCCGGATGGAGCCGGTGAAGCGCGAAGCGGGGGCGGTGCTGGGCGAGCGTCACCCCCGGCCTCGGCGGGAGGAGCCCCGGGAGGAGCCCCGGGCGCCACCTAATCACAAAGCAACTAATAATCCCACTAAACAAAAATGGACATAAATGAGCCCTCATCCTAACATCTCTCATAACCCTCCTACTCATAATCATTTTCTCCAGGATAGGCACGATCATGTCAAACTTGGGGCGCTTGGCAGGGTCCTCATTCATGCAGATCTTCATCAGCTTGCAGATGTGGGGGGAGATGCCGGGGGGTATGGTCGGACGGAGCCCCTCCAGAGCCACCTGGGAGCAGCAGAAAAGGGGGCCCAGCCCCAGGCTGGCAGGGTGCAGCCCCTGCCCCCTCCCTGGGTGTCTTGCCCACCCCCCTCACCTTCATGCCGATCTCCATGTTGGACAGGTCGGCGAAGGGCACCTCGCGGGTCACCAGCTCCCACAGCAGCACCGCGAAGCTCCACATGTCGGCCGAGCGCCGGTTGATCTCCTCGGGCTTCTTCTGCAGGGCTGCTGGGCCCCCGGGGGTGAGCGGGGCTGGGAGGGGCCGGGCAGCCCCCGGGGGGCGAGGCAGGGGGCTGCCAGGGGGCACTCACCTTCAGGAGCCACCCAGGCAGGCGCGTACATCCTGCCCGGGCACTGGAAGGCGAACTTCACGCCA